TGACACTCTGGAATGGCTCTGTATTTGTCTTAGGATGCTATTGTTGTGATAACATTCCATGACCAAAAGCAATGTACAGAGGAAAGGGTTTATTTTGTTTATACTTTTACATCACAGTCCATCATGTAAGGACGTCAGGACAGAAACTCAAACAGGGCAGGAACTTAGAGTCAGGAACTAAAGCAGAGGCTGTGGAAGAATGGTACTTACTGGCTTGTTTTCCAAGGCTTGCTCCTCCTACTTTCTTATAGCATCTAGGACAACCAACAATAGGGTGTAGCACCACACAGTGAGCTGGATCCTCCCCAATCAATCATTAATTGGGACAGTATCTCATAGACTTCTCTATAGGGCAATCTTTTAGAGACATTTTCTTATTTAATATTCCCTCTTCCCAGATGCATCTATGTTTGTGTCAGGTTGACAGAAAGCAACTATCATAGGGAAAGAAGCCTAAACTCATGTGACACCACTCTTTTTCTCCCAGGACTTTGCCCACCAGACCTGCTCATTGCCTCCATTCCTTGCGTTGTTTTGAGATGGCTCTCACTGTATAGAAATTGGCTGGCCTAGAACTCACTATAAAGACCAGGCTGGCCACAAACTCACAGACATCTACCTGCCTATGTCTCCAATGCATTGGGAATAAAGGTGTATACAACCACACCTGGCCACAAGATAGCTTTTACAAATACATTCTGTCATTGTTTCTTGTCCTTTGGCTCATTCATCTCTCGCTGCCCACACCCAGCCCTTGGACTAACATATACATCAAAACAAAAACAGAGACTAAAGATGCCTGAACCTATGAAGATTTATAGCATGAAGACAGGACCTCAAGACATTAGGTTTCTTATAATGTACATGAACAAGCCAATGGTTTCCAGATTGTTCATTCCAGTGGTATAAGTAGCCAATCTAAAATTTCTTTGACTATACTGTGATCTTGTGTGAATCTTAGAAGAATGAAATGGAACACAACCAAATCAAAGTTGTAAAGGCCTGGTTCCTCCAGAACCAAGGCATGAGAAGGTACTGAGTAAGTACTAAAAATGTACTGAAGCCTCACTGTCATAGAATAGGAAAAGATTTTAGTTGCCTTTTAACTTCACAAGTCTATCCAATTCATATTTGACTGCATTTTAGACTTAGGAGCAATCTCAATAATTTACTATGCTCATAGTAAAAGGGCAAGGAATCCTTGTCTCTGATAAAGGCTACCCTTTCATTGCTAAGATCATACTTTGGATTTCTGGGCAAAGACTCTATCACTTAATATAGAAAATATGCTAGAATTTTCCAAGAATGGATTGAAGTCAGGAGACTATAGGCTATAATGTACACAGGAAAAAAGGTAAACTATGAGTTTTAAGTTTACAGTGCTAAAGACACAGGATGTAACAAACTCATAAAATTCACCTGGCTTCTGCCAAGTAAAGACAAACCTCAATTATCTGTGGTAATGCGTGATAGACATGACACAGAAATGAACACAAAACATGGATGATGGGCTAAGCTAACTATGTTACCAATGACCCAAACTTCTGAGAGATACTATCAGAAAACTCCAGAGACCAATTTAGCTTTATTCTTATCTTTATGCAAAAGTTAAGAATCAGAGGGTGCTGATGGAAGAGACACTCAGAGTCTGCAATTTGGAAGCAATGTTACTAATCAAGGCAAGGGAAAGTACTTTTAAAAGTTAACATAGATTAAAAATAATAAAAGCTCAATTAAACATTTTCATATATGAAATTAGGTTTGTGAAATATTTGTCTAAAAAACTACTATATGCATTTAAAAATGAAGTTAGATTCATTTCCAGTTTAATTCATTCATTCATTAATTTATTCAACAAATATCTTTTGAATGCTATGTATAAGGAATGAGAGAAAAGGAATTCTAATGGCATAGGTAAGATTTCCCTGAAACATTTCTACAATAGTCACCTTGTGTTTCCCCAGGGCATGGGACCCGGAATGTTGTGAATAAGAATAATGAATAGAATTCAATAACACATAGGGTCTCCAAACAGCTGTCCTTTGCTAATTGCAATTTGGTATAATTCAAATTTGTAGAACAAGGAGATAAAATATCCGTAGATACCCATCAAATATACACAGATACTTAGATATATTGAAAGTCTGCATCGAAAGCATTTAGTGCAATTTTAATTTTAAATAGCCTTCCCCATTTTTCCTTCAATTTGGCTCATATTTGTCATTTTTGTAGCCTTCTTCTGTCTTGGGAAATATCCAAGCTGGCAGGCACAGAAAAAAGGCATCTCAGTGATTTCCCAGGCTTTCTTAGGGAAGGAAATGACAAATTAAAGGCTTTTAAACCAACACTCAATTCAAAGGTCATCGAAGCAGAATGGTCCTGAATCTCTTTCATAAAAACTGAAGACAGCAGAGGCCAGACCAGAGAAAATGAGGCAGGGGCAGGCTGTTCCCAGGAGGGGGCTCTGGAGATACATTTCTTCAGGATTCAGTAGGTGGTGAAAATAGAACTAAGTAGTAGAAGAAAAGGCTTATTGTGACCTTTCCAAGATAACCTCCAGAAAGACTCACATAATGGCAGAGGTCTCATTTTGGAGCACTAAGGAGCCCTGCTATATAATCTTTCTTCCAGAGAACAAACCATCCCATTTTCAGTGACAAGCCTGGATATATTTCAGGGTAAAGTGGTTGAACTGGTTTATTCAGGAACGTTTGTTCTTTGCAAACATTCTCTCAAGGTAAGGCATATTCTGGGGAATAAATCCTGTCTCTATGTAGATGACATTTGCATAGAATGACTCTTTATTCTCTGATCCAAGGTAGAGTTGGCTATTTTGAGTGTGAAAAAATAAACCTGGTATGAATTTATCTCTACCACTGCTGGCTGTGAAATCTGGGGCAAGCTATTCGAACTTCTCTCAGCCTGTGCTTTCTCATCTAAAGAAAGGAGATGAGTACTTCTTTGTACAGCTTTTAGAAAGATTAAATGATCTAAAATATATTAAAGTGCTTTCAAAATGAGGAGCCAGTAGTGTTTCTCAGTGGTAGAGTAGGTTCTTAGAATACATGAGGTCATGGATTCAGTCCTCAGTACCTGAAACAGTGCCCTGAAAATCATAAAATGATACACAAAGGAGCGCTATCAGTATTCTTTCCCAGCACTCATTGACCTGGTTTTCATGGCATGGAGGGTGCATGTACAACCCACCAAAAAGACATGGGTCCTGACTAGTGAGCTAAAAGGTATATTAAACAATAGTAATGATCATATACTAAAAATGCACTTACAGTTTAATAGCATTAAATTATATTTATAAGGAAAATGACAATATTTCTTCCCATTTGACTTTGATAAAGATTTAATATGAATGGCTATTAAGTATTATTACCTATTATTATTAGTGACAGTTACAAATAAAATAGAAGAAGAAGAAGTATGGTTTTGATTTCTACTTTTATAAATACATCTTAGAAAATAAAGTTTTCATTAATCTCCTCTCCCCAGATGTACAATATTACATCTTTGCAGGTGGCTATGTGATCTCCTTGATATATATATATATATGCGCTTCACCAAACATGCTCTGAGTAGTGAAATGGTATTAGTGTGGTAGGTAGAACTATAGGAACACGATGTTTATGATGGAATGGCCACAACGCATTTGAAAGAGGTACAGACAGTGAAAGGACAAACTGTCAAGGACTTCTCTCAGCAAAGACTAAAGTGATAGAGGCTGAGAGCAAGCTTGAACATGACCCAGAAAGTAGGTAAACACAAAATAAAATCTTGGCTACAACAGCATGGCCATATAGGAGAAGGGTGACATTGACAAAGCAAGTAAAAGAGAAAACAGTGGAAAGTTTCAATGCCTTGCTGAGAAGCTGGGTGTTCTTTCAAGATCCAGAAATCCAATAAAGAAAGAATGTCATGGTTCTGGAAAAATATACAACTAGTCAGTACAAAGGATTTATTGGGAAAATTTGCAAGGAACTAATCAGAAGCCAATTTGATAAAGAGCTATAGCTAAAGGTCAGGGTTATTAAGAGTTGGAAGGATAGTAGTGGCAGCAGAAGGGACTAGATGAATGGCAGTCTTCTATCTCATGCTGAGGTGACATTCTCTCTCCGAACACTGGTTCACAAACATGGCGTACAGTCTAGATTAAGACATCTTGCTGCCTTAGGCTAACCAAAAGAGATGAAAACACTTTGCTACATATTTGAGCAGTCAGGCCTTTAAAGACTTGCCTAGTAGCACTGTCTGCAGAATGTCACACCGTGATTACAGGAGATTATGTGAAAAATTTCCTTAACCAAGGTACTTGTGGTATAGTTAGGGTAATACAAAAGAAAAAGGCCAATGATTTGTATTATCCTGACACCACACAATATTCCAGGTCATTAGAATTTATCTGCTCTATAGCCATCATGTATTTTCTCTTGGCTTTTCCTTTTCAACAGTTTCTGATGTTTTCATATTGAACTCTTTTTACAGGTGGAGTCTAACAACTGGAATGGCCTACCTAATCTGCTATGAAGATGAACAAAAGCAGCAACGTCTGTAGTTGATGATGAGAAATAAGAGGAAATACTATTGCCAAGTATTACTAAGACAATGAATCTAATTCCTTAAATGATTCTGGTAATATGGCAAAACACATGTAAAATTTGCATAAACATCAATTAAATTACTTGCTTTTTTCTTAAATTCTATCCTCACATACATATATATCAAAACCTATGGAACACATGCAACAACCCAATACCCCCATTAGCATTAATCCCTTTACAACTAAAATAGGAGTTCTTAATCATGCTATATGGTACTCATTTTCTTCTTCAGACCGAAAAAAAAAAAAGTGAATCTGCAAAAGGAGCTGAACAGATTATTTTAGCAAACAGTTAGACATCACATGAGGAAGTGACGATCCCTGGCGCTTTTCTCCATGTGCAAGTGTGTGCACTCTGCGTACCGAGGACAAAGCTACAAAGACAACTCACCTGTTTTCTTCCTCAAGATCTGCTAGGATTCTCTCTAGCTCCCCTCTTTCCTCACTCTCTAAGGAAATCAAGATCTGGGCAGGACTACGAGGCTGGCTCAGGGGGGAGTCCTGGTTCAAACTTTGGCAGTAATGCTGGATTAACAAATGTTCATCATCTCTGGAAAATAAAATCAAAGGTTTTGATTTTTCCACCCCCCCTTATTTTGTTCTTGGGTCAGGGACTCAGGTGTGTATTTGAAAATGGAAACATTTCTTTGCTCTCAACAATTAGTCAGACCTTCTGTTCCCCTATTCTAAGGACATTTAGGTAACTATGGAGGTTGTGGTCTACTATTCTCTTGATGGACAATTTAAAGTGCTGCATTTTCAAAAATCCACATGAAACTCACTGGCCTATTTACACAGATAAATGAAAGGTAGAATTACAGAAAGACTGGGAGTCTATACAAACAAGTTAGACTGTTGTTAAATAATAAATATTTAAAAATATAAAAATGTCCATATAGTGTTTTGCTACTAAGCCTGTCAGGATACTCTTCCTGTTCATTAGTCATGCTACTGATACTGATTGGGCAGGAAGGAGGGACACATAGTTCTTAAAATAGTAAATATTATCTTCAGTGGAAGGCAAGAACCGGAAAGCGCTGCTTCAGCCAGCTAATTTTAACCTATAAATCTCAGAGGTGGATGATAACAATAATTAACCTGTGGGTAAACGGTTGTTTTAATTATTGTTTAGATAGAAACACAAAAAGTAAGGGAGTAAATGTGTGGAGATATTAAGATGACTGATTAAGAGAGGACAAGAACAACTCATTCCTTACTAAACCTAAACCATTAATTGTGTGTGTTGGGGGGCATATTTTGATAGGCAGCTGCAGTCTCCAGGAAAGTGTGAACTTTCTAATAACACTCAAGAGGAATTACTTACAGATTGAAGTACTCTAAGTTTTGAAAACTCCACTTTAACTTCAAATTCATTTTCTTCTTAATGGGGGAGGAAAGCTCTTTGTTTCTGCTCACATTTCATTAAGATGATGCTTCCTTCTGCATACTCATTTAATTTTAGTTTTTAAGAGGGAATTTATGTATAGCCCAGGCTGGCCTCAAACTGACAGTCCTTCTGTCTCAGCCTCCTGAGTACTGAGACTACAGGCATGTGCCTCCACAACTAGCATGGCATATCTACCTAATGTTCAGTTTTAAAAGATCAAGTCCTTAGGAAAATGTCCTTAAGGCATCCACGTTTGGTTTATTAAATCAGATAAGTGGTGTAGATATAATAAATTAACTAATTATTGGAGGGCCAGGATATATCTCACTGGGTCATTTGTCTAGCATGCATTAAGACCCAGAGATAAATCCTTATCATCACGAAAATAATGATAATAATGACTATTACCATTATTATTGCTATTAAAATCATTCAAATGAAATCAGCTGATCCACAAAACTGGGCCTAAATAATGGTATTTTGCCAAACAATAGAGTGAAAATGGATTGCATGTCCTCAGAATGAGCTAAAGCTGAATTTTGTTGTAAAATAAAACAATCATGACTTCAATACATAGCTAATTTATTATTTTCTTCTTCAAATTCTGAAATTTTATGGCTAGGACTTCCCATATTTAACTGTAAGGTATAATTGTAATTAAGTTTTTCTTCCTGTTCTCTTTGGCAGTCCATGCTTGCCAGATACTGTCATATAGATACAATCTGAACTACTGTGAAAGTTAAGAGCATCAAATATCAGAATGAGGGAGCCAAAGAAGCAAATCATTGAAGCTTTTATGTTGAGTTGGTTCTTTAGCTACTTCCTTCCTGTGGGAAGATTACATAATGGCATCACAGCTTCAAGTGGAAAAAGGGATAGTTGTTTGAAGTAAATGGCTGAGTGTTGATTTCTCTCTCATTATATTGATCTCCTCTATGTTCTAGGTTACAAGGTGTTATACAATAATTATATAGAAATTCCACTTTCATACAATTTCCTTTGGCTTAATCCTTAGGAAGGTTCTTTTCTAACTGAAGTTAAGACTCTGGGTTCCCACACAAACTACACAGGATAACTTTACCGTGCTTGGAATTACCTATTCTCCAGAGTAAGATGTTAAACCAGTATCTTACCACAGCTTATCAAACTGAAAGCATCACTGAACTTTGACTTAATTTCTATTCTCCACATTATTAGTTCAGTTAGTGGACTCTCTATTTCTTCCCTAAGCTCACTTCTATCACTGCCTAATCACCATCTACTTGGATTATGGTAATGTGCCTCTGTGTTTTGTACTATGAGCACCGCCCAAACCTGTTGATGATGCCTCTTTTAGTGCCAAGGAGGTTCTTGGCCATTTTTAACAGTAATACATCTCCTTCCTACAGCCTGATCAAGCTGGCTTATCACCCTACTGACAAACTAAGACCTGCATTTGTCTTCCGTCATCTTCGAACTCTTCACAAGACTGCCTTTCTATAATGATGCTAAACCACAATCCAATGAAGGAAAATGCCAACCTAACAGTATTTGGGTACAGCAATTATATATGAAGATCTCATTTCCACTTCCCATGAATAGAGGAAATGCTATTTAGTTATTACTTTCAAATATCACCTTATTCTTTATTCTATTGTGGTCAAAGTGATTCGGACTTAGTAATTTGAATTCATATGACGTTAAATAATTTGAAATAAGGCAAAAAATATTTTGCTTACTTCAGATTGATGCTTGTATTTATATGAGCTCATTCTGTGCCAGGTTTTTTAAGAATTAAAGAAAAAAGTCAATGAATGACTCTTTGAAAGATCAAATGAATATGATGCTAATTCCTATATTCTGTACTATCCTACCTCTACATCCTTCAAAGCAATTCATCGTCAGGAAGATTTTGAAAAAGAGATGCGATACTTACATGCTCTCATTAGGAGAGATGCTATCATTTAGATAAGATCCATTGCTGTTTTCCATTTCTGCTAGCCTGATAAAAAACGTAAAAGCTCATTAAAACTTATGTGATTTCTTAAAATCTATTCAAGACCTAAGTGAACATTCTTGAAAACTAAAGAATAACTCATGGCAAGAGGAAAAAGAAATCCTTCAAATTAAAGGATGTGTGTGTTGTCTTAACCAGTTGAAGCAGCTAATTAGTAGTTTTGTATTTCTAGTGTAAAAGCTATGGGAAGCTGTATTTTGTTTGGGTTTCTTCCCCCAACAGATCAATCTTCCTTTAACTGAGAACAGGTCTTTGGTTTTAAAAGAAAATCTTCCCTAAGAGCACCTTACACTACCCCTTGTCTTTTAAGACAATTAATGCCTTTTCACTGATGATAGATGTATATAGCTAGTTAATGCTTGCAAAAATTGATGAGCATGTCCAATAATCAGGATGTTTATAAAGGATGGATTCACAGTAAGTCTTCTGTGTTCTGCCACCAATTGAATCATAAAATCTTTTGACAACCAGAAAAGTTGAATAGACTTATTTAACAAGCACAAGATATAATTAGGAGTTCAGTGTTTAGGTACAAAAGCTCTCTCAAATACTAAGAAGGTGGTACAGAAAGGTCCAAGAGTTAAGAAAGTTGTTATCTTCTTAAAGTACATCATGTAAATGAAACACAAATAAAAGGCCAGTGCTTTCGTATTGTTTAGGTAACACAGTATTCTTTCTCCACAGATTAATATATCTAGCCTAGTAGTTTTCTAAGGAGGTTAGAAGACTTGTAAGGCAATTTAGCAAGTGTGTTCAGAATACAAAATGCAACAAAGCTACCAGAAATGTTGAAAGGCCAGGGTTAAGTAAGATTGGTCTGGATCCATGCTGTTGTTGGTGTCCAACACCTCCATGCAGTAGAATGGCATGCACGTTAGAGGGCAAGTTGATTAGTAGAGATCAGAAAAGATTGAGGAAGAAAGAAAATATTTGTTTAAAATTATTATAGGTTAGGTTCCTTGGTTAGTTATTTCAATCAATATTTGCCTGGCATTCAACTAGTCTCATACCTGCTAGCATAATGTTCAATGCGTGAATGAGTATCATCGTGTGAAAGCTGGGGGGACGAGGCAGGCCTATAAGGCAGAAAATGTGATTAGTCATAGATACCACCCATTAATGGAGAAAAAGACCCCACCAAACACTTATGTTATATACATGGCTTAGAATGACTTTATTCCAAGTCTACGGATAATCCACAAGTATGTGCTCCTGAATATAAGACAGCATCAAGTATTCTAAATCAAGATTTGAGATATGATTTCTCCTTTTCTTAAAACCCATAAAGATAAAAGAAAAACTTCCTTAGGAAGTTTCAATTACACAAAAGGTATGGGGGGAATCTACATAGCATTACACCCTCTTAACTTATTAGAGATTCAAGATTTAAAACTATGGTTTAAAACTGAAAATAGCTTATGTATTTCTATGACATTCTGAACTGAATGGAAACTATGTTTCCTTAGCGCATTTACAGTCAATAATTTTAGTTCCAATGGGGTTATGCTATTCTAGCAGTTCTTAAAATTCCATGTATTAAAATATTTTACTAACTTAAGAGCAGTATTGTACTGTATTTTATAGAGGAAAATAGAATGACTCAATGTCATATAAACATTTTCAAAAGGATAACTAAGTTCAGTAAGATGTCATGGTATCCAGAATAATTCTTATTAAGGCTAATATACTCGCAAATCAGACAGGAAAACAAGAGGGAAAAATGAGCATGACCGCTCTGTAGAAAAAAAAAAAACATACCTTTGCTTCATTGGACAGGCTAGAATTTTTGGAAAGATTAATGTTTTTCATACTTTATATCTGATCTATTCATTATCTGGGGAATTTTATATCTTCCTTACCCAAAAAGAAAATGCTCTAAAAACCTGTTTGGACTTCTGTTTTTTGTTTTATTGGAATACAATAAAAGTCTCTTCCATTTCTCTGACACAGAAAGGACTTAGATAAAAGAAAGTATGAACCCAAAATTCAGGAGTAATGTACTTGGTGACACCTCTGGTTTAGCCTAATACCTAAACATCATTCAACGACTCTGTTTCACATGAAGAGGAAAATGTTTGAATTTTCATATATATATATATATATATATATATATATTTCCATATAAAATGTTCTAGAAATTTCTATTTCTTTTTTTACAAAGAAACATTGTAGTAAGATAATTACAACATATTACAACAAACAACCAGGGAACTGGAAGCCTTCCTTGAGGGATAAATGTCTTACCATATTGTCTAAGTCAAGTGTAAACTATGAGAGCAATGTTGTCTAGGTCAAGTGTAAAATATGTTCACATTTCATGTGAAGACAAAAGAGATTACTATTTAACTCAATTGGCAGATCCAAAGATTCCCCTGTGAGTTTTTACTACATTTTTTAGAGACTTAATCTGCTCATTTTATAGAATTTTAGTATTATCTATTACTAGGAAACTGTGAAGGTTTGTTTTGAAATCATCACTATAAATAAAGATAATTTAATGCTTGGATTGTTTGACTTGTAAGTATACTCTGAAATAGAGCAGTCCTTCAATTATATTTGTCTATAAGCTAAAGATTACCAGGGAGGAAAATATATTAGTATTTTCCATGATAATAGTTGCTACAGTGGTAATGTACACAAAAAGAAAGCAAATACAAGACCCTGGAGCAAAACTACACCAGGAGGAGTAGGCACATAAATACAAAGTAGTTTACTGCAATTTTACACAAACGTCTGATATGGAGCTTTAATTCTTAACCTCAAGGGTATTTTCAAATTATTTTTTCTATTAATGTACATAGCACATAGTGCAGTGTGCGTGTACAAGAACTTGTAATAATTAGAATTCTGAAAAAGTACAAGAGGCACTTGCTATGCTAGAAAACACGCAAAAAGAAAGTGCTGGTCAGAGAAGAAATTCAAAACCAAGAATTAATAAAAGTTACTCCAAAAATAAACCTAAATATAAAGCCTCCAAAAACACTTCCAAACGAAGATAATAATATGGCTCCCACTTCCTGCTTTGTAAATACAGAGCAATATACCAATTAGGATCATTCCCAATTATCCCCAAGAATCCATTTGGCCAATGCCATCTTATGTACCACCACTTTGTCTCTTGTGGAATTTCCATGAGTAAGTTCTCATGCATTTAGATTAGAAAGCAGAGGAGCTCCAAGAACACTGCTAGCCTGTCTCACTTGTGGATAAACAAAATGAAAGGCTGATGCTAGATTCAGTTAAAAATAATATGACAGATATGAAGAAACAAGGGTTTTGTCTAAGAAAAATACAAAAGATCTGTATCTCTGGAAGCTTTCCAAGTCTGTGTTCCATATTAAATAGATTAAATGCCACCATTATCATAAGATTTGCTACTATCAAACAAATCTCTACAAAATAAAACATGTTAGAACCTAATTCTTCTGCTTGAATAGGACAGCTTTACAATAGATTTTTCTACTAGAAAATTATGAGTGAAAACTAATAAAATTACAGTATTAAAGTACAGAATAGCCTGCTGGGTTTGTTTTCTTCATCCAAATTAGAAACTCCCACTCTTTCAGGATAATCTAGCCAACTTTTCATAAAAAGGCAACTTAGGAGCATGTTCTAGTTGTTAGAAAAGATATTTTAATAAAGAATGACATTGGTTTTTAAAGTGCTTCAAGGTTTTAAAAAGACAAACAAACCCTTAAAACAAGTTACTTTAACCTGACTCTAAATATAATTTCTCATTAACTTATATTGTATCTTCTCCTTTCCTTTCAAGGTACTATTTCCTGTTACTTTTAGTATTAAAAAAATTCTTCTGAATCTTCATCCTTCAGACTTCTTCCCTGGTTAAACAACTTTTAACATAGAGTAATCTATATACTTGGCCATCTCAGGACTTTAGTAGATCAAATTTCCATATTTATGAAGGTTTCCCAGGTTGAAAGAAATAATTACCACCATCATGCAAGAAACATAACTGTATCTAGCAGCTTCTCCAGCTGTTTAAGCATTAGGACCTATTTGAGGCTAAAAGAAAAGTCTTCTACTTCCTTTGAATAATAAGGACCTAAAACACATCTCAATTAATAGCTCATATTTCTCAATATATCTTTTAAGTTAAATTATATGGAGAAATAATAAAAATATGAGATAAATTAAATTCTTACATAAGCCACTCTTTCAAGTTATTCTCTACTTGATATAGGCTAGGACTATCTAACTTTAAATAATTTGATAAGATTACAGTAAAACATTGAAATTATTATGAAAACACTATATAACTTTTACGTAGGCTTTTTTTTTTTTGCTAATGTATACATCAAAGAGCTCTAAAAGATCTCATAGATTCTATTTGTTGAAAGAAGTCTCACTATGGTACTCAAGATGGTCTCAAACTCCTGGGTTCACCCAACTAATCCTCTTGCCTCGGCCTCTTAAATACCCAGGACTAGTTGTGCTCACTACAATACCTAGCTCCAAAATAGTTCTCTACCAGTATAAACTGAAACAAATCATTTGTGTATTATTATCTAATATTACTAGCATTAATAAACACCAGTATTGATATCTGGCTATAGTATACTTCCTCCTTGCTTAAAGGCATAACAGTTTATGAACTGAATATTTTGCAGAGAAGATAAAAACATGAGTTTATCTCAAAAGTCAGAACCCCACATTTGTGAAAAGTTATTAAACAGCATGGCATAACCTAATTTTTAAAAACATCTACATACTTCACAGAATTAGTCTACCAGACTCAGTAGACTAAAATAGATCTTGTTGATTTTTAATAGTCCAGGTACAACTGCTTCTAAGAAACACACCATCATCCTTCTGAAAGTCTTCATTCATGCATTATGTCTCAAGAAATAGGCTTTTAAATGTCATTATCCAAACAAGAGGCTCTTTCTTGTCTATATTTGAAGGAATATTTAAAATATAAAAATGTCTTCCAGGAAGACAGGTAAAACTTGCAAAATTCTTTTCATTTTTATTAGAACTCATGCCAGGATGCTACTAGCTAGACTTCAGCAGAGAGATCTGCACTATCCAAAGTCTCTGTAGCTATAGTCGATGGCACTCTCAAGGCCTTACTGAGAAAGGAAAACAATGACAAGAACAACAAAAAATAAACAAAAATAGGAAATTAAAATGTCTTTAAATAAAACCAAGCAGAGTAAATGAACAAATGAAAAAGATAAATCAAGCAAGTGAGGATTGGCTGTAGCGGTACCCTTAGCAAAAGTACTCACGCAGAATCTACTGGCCAGAAGTTGATCAGAGTAACGGGACTGCAAAACAAAAAATGAGGTGGTAAAAAGAGACACAAGCAAACTCAGTGGCAACAGAAATTATGGAAAGGTCAAAAGGAATAAATAAAATCCAATTAAATTAGGTATGAACTGTGGAAAGCAACAGCCAACTAAAAGTAAAAAGTGAATGAAAAGTCAAACAGATAACAGTGAGATAGATTGCCATCAAAGTACAGGAAAATATAAGGAGTAAGTTTAAAGGAAGGAAGCAAAGATATCATCCGATCGACCAATAGACTCATTTCTACTTACCGTGAAATCATTTCCTGTGACTGGGTATTTCTCTCAAGTGGAAAAGAGTGACTAGGTATGACCACACAATTAGATACAAAAACACACATGTCCACTGATTTATGAGGGAAGAAAATCAAAATGAAATATAGTCATCACTCTTCTGTAAACAGTCTCCTAGCTCTAAAAAGTCTTAGAAGGCAATTCGTGATGATGTTTTGCTGAAGTTTTTTTTTTCTTTTTCTTTCTTTCATTTTTTTTCTTCTTGTAAGGTCAAGGTCAAGTTTGACTTTTGGAAAAGATAAACTGTCAAGAGAAAATGTAATCGAACATCAAATTGTTTGTGTATTTTTTTTTCAGCTAAAGTAAAAGCAATAAGGGAGAGGAGCTTAGGAGACTGTTTGCATTTGGGAGTGAAGAAGGGTTTTTGGCTGGGAGGAGTTCAAAGATATATCAAATGAAAGTTTGCTTTGCTTCTGCCACTACTCACGTTTCCATGTTGTCCCCCTCTAACACAGTCTGCACTGGCAGGTAGCCCATTCGGGGATGCTTCGCAAAATACCTTTTGGTTCGAAATTTGTTTTTCAGTACCTTGGCAAAGTCACGAACATCTTCTCCGGATGTAGTCTAAATGGAAATGATGAAGAGAGCAGCTTTAGGAGAGTGCCATTTAAAAACAAATGGCCATCTGATCTTCATCTTCATGGTTCAGAACCAGGAAGAATATGGGAAATATCAGCCAAGGCTGTGGATTCAAACTTGACTAACTTCGGTGAATTACTTATGTCTATAAAACATGTATCAGTGGTAAAAGAGGAGCATTGAAGGCAGATGAAATAGTTCTGTTGGCAAAGTGCTTGTCACATAGAGTTTGGATTTCCTGCAGGCCTGTAAAAAGCCAGGCATGGTGGTATGTATTTTTAACCCTAGTACTAAAGAAGGCAGAGACGGTAGATGTTGTGGATTGGATTTAGTGTTTACATTATGGGTTCCCAAATTTACAGGAGAATTCCTCATGTGAGACACTGAGGGTCCCTGCCCCAAGCTGGTTCTGATTGGCAAAGTTGCCAGCAGCCGATGGCTGATCAGGGAAACAGAGGCAGGACTTTAGATTTCCTGGGCAAGGGAACCCAGGGGAAGAAAAAGGATTTAGAATCACCATACAAGGGAAGCAGAAAGATAAGGCCTGAGAAGTGCAGGACAGAGAGACAGCCAACATATAAGAGTCAGGAGGGCTGCAGTCCAGGGCAGCCAAGATGGAATATAGGTTTGATATGTAATAATTCAGGAATATCAGAGGGGAGAGTGTGTAGCTGCTTGGCTGTTTGGGAGTGGCCCCACCATTGAGCTGTTTAGGGCATGTTAAAAAAATAAGGCTGTGTGTGTGTGTCTTTTATTTGAGAATCCGCAACACTGGAGTGGTATCGAGGAACTTGTGCTGCCACTTCTGGGCGAGTAGAGTGGATTAATCTACTACAGCAACAAGTAGATTCCTAGATCTCATGTACCCTCCAATGAGGTCAACCTGTGACTTCTGGATTCTGTTAGAGACTGTACCTCATAAAATAAAGATACCAGTCTTTAACCTCTGTCCATCACACATAAAAACACACATAAATAAAAATGAAGAAGGGCAATAAATGAAGGCTACTTGATGAACGATAGCTTATAGAAGACTTAAGCCTAACTTCAACTTTTCCTCTTCAGTAGGCATTAAACTACTTAGTTGGCATTAGTATCAGTGTTCACAAGCTGAATATCAGGCAATTCACAGCATGGTACACTCTCGAATCTTTGTAAGAGGAAGAATAATAAGAGAAACAGTTAAATACTTGAAAGGATAACCATTGATGGATGAAACCCATGTTCTAAAGGAGAGCAGAGCCACTGTAAATCTTGCTAAAATATAGATTTTGATTTATAAAACCCAGGCTGGGGCCTGAGTGTATATATTCTGGATAAGCTTCCAGGATCACTCATTTAGCAGTTCTGTGTCTCAATAGAAACTCTGAATCTCCGTTCGTACCATCTCACTACAGTTTTTTCCAAAGCCTAATACCTGCTGTAAGTTTTAGTCTGACATGTTTGAAGTTTCTCCACATTTTACTTATAGATACTTGGGCAAATATTTTAACCTCAGGACAACAGAGTCCTTACCTGTCAAAGGAGGATACAAATAACAATACCTATTACACTATAAGGGAATTGAAAGGGCAAATGCTTACTGACCACGTAAATTTGTTAGTAAGTATGGCCATGAAAAACATTTGTCATGTGTCAGTTCAAACTATATCACTGAGCTAAAAGGCAAACAATAGTGACAGAACATGGTAGGTTATGTGCTTTGAAGAATACATATAGTACTCTCCTCCAAGTTCAACATGCCCTATGGCCATGAGCCTTCTTTATATAATTGCTAAGGCTGCATTAGGAGAACTGTAAGATATCCTCCCGACAATATGGTGAAATGTCAAAATGTATGCATTCATTCAGAGATATTTATTGAGTGCCTAATACTTCTGTTGTGTATCAGTACCTGCCTTGTATGGGCATAAGGTGGTGGAACTGAAAGGAAGGAAGGAAGGAAGGAAGGAAGGAAGGAAGGAAGGAAGGAAGGGAGGGAGGGAGGGAGGGAAAAAGGGAGGGAGAGAAGGAAGGAAGAAAGAAGGAAAAGAAAACAGCATTAAATACTGCAATATCCAAATCTAGAATTCACCTCAGGTGAGTGAACTCTTGTCAGAAGGAGATTAACTTACCGGAGTGCAATACTCTACCATGGGGTAGTGCATTTTATGGCCCTTTGCAACTCGGCCAGAAAAAAAGCAGCTTTGGCAGATGTCATAGTTAAAGTGCTTTAGGCTTCTGTACCTGATAAAGAATAGAAACAAATGCTTATGTATTTCTTCAAATCATATTCCCAAAGAACATTCTAGGCAACCCACTCCCACACTGTTGACTGTAGAAACTGAAAACAGTACTCATTTGTCCTTACATAGGAAGCTATTAACTTCTTCCTCCAGATTTCTTCAGTGCCTCTCCTAGAGGATCAACACATTTTGGTGGAACAATTATCCCATAAACATACATATGGAAGAAAAAAGTTTTTAGCCCAGAACCTTGAAATGCCCAAGATGCAACTCACAGGCCACATGAAGCTCATAAAGAAGGAAGACCAAGTGGGGGTGATTTGGTCCTTCTTAGAAGGAGCAACGAAATACTCAAGGGAGCAAATATGGAGACAAAGTGAGGGACAGAAACTGAAGGAGGGGCCGTCTGAAGACCACTCCACCTGAGTATCTATCCCATGTGCAGTCACCAAAGGTAGATGCTGATGTGGAAGTCAGGAAGTGCATGCTGATAAGAGCTTGATATGGATGTCTCCTCAGAGGTCTTCAAGAGTTTGACATATTCAGAGGCAGATGCTCACAACTAGCCATTGAACTGATAATGGGGTTCCCAATGGAGGAGTTAGAGTGAAGGCCATTGAAGCTGAAAGGGTTTGTGGCACCATGAGGAGAGCAACAATACCAGCCAACCACAGCTCCCAGGGTCTAAACCACCAGCCTGGGAGCACTTAGGGAGGGATCCAGGGCTTTAGCTGAATATGTAAGAGTGGAAGGCCCTGCTGGGCATAGGTGGAAGAAGAGAACCTTGACCTCATGAAGGCTGGACGCCCCAGGGGGTGGGAATTTTGAGGGTGGGGAGGTGGGAGTGGGGGGGTAGATAGAGGTTAAATCCACAGAGAAGAAGGAGGAGGGGTGAGGGGATTGGGGGTTCCTGGGTGGGTGGGGGATGGGGTAAGGGGACAACATATGAAATGTAAATAAAACATCCAATAAAAAAATTAAAAAAAAATCTACTCTTATTTAAACTACACTGGAATTCTTTCAGATTAAATAGAAGGTAGTATGGCCAAAATTCCTGGTCTTTTAAAGACCAAATACTCAAACATGAAAGATATAAAAGACGGACATGCCACATGCTGCCAATTCATCACAGGGACAAGAGTGTTCTAAAATAATTATTTTCACAAAATTACCAAAAATAAAGTTAATCATAAGTAATAAAAAATAAAAATATCACTTAAATCACTTCTTTTAATTATAAACTCTAAAATTGGCTGGTATGATTCACCTTTGTGTCAATTAAGAGTTTCTTCTATCTCTTCAGAAATTCCTCACCATACTACCCAAAAATGGTATCACCACCAGCACCACCAAGAACAGCAGCAACAATGTTGGATTAAATGGAATATTTTCTAATTTATAAGTATTGGTTGATATATTTCCTTCAGTCTCGGCCTACTATATATACTTGCTTCATTCTTCCTGATTTTTGCCTTCTCAGATAAGAGCCTCAGCCAATTCAGATAAACATATTCCTGTTGTCACATATGGAAAAGTGGGAAGAAAAGCTAGTCACCTTTTTTTTTTCTTTTAAGATCTCAACCATCATTCGAAAGGGGATGGAAGAAAGAGATGTAGAGAAGTGCTGATTTTTAAAATAATCTAATTTGATAAAGACAAAAGAACTGAAGGTTAAAAGGGGGAGGAGAGGCTCTCTTAGGTCCTCCAAAGCACAGTAATTTTTTTTCTTTTATAAAATTTTCCTGTGTTGTGTACAAATCCCACTGGCTCAGGAAGCTGGCTCAGGAAGATAAGAAATAGAATGCAGTCACCTGCAGCTCCTCTCCCACCCCAGCCTTGCAATCCCTATAGCACCCTTCTCATCTGTCCAAAATCAGGAAGGAAAGAAGGTATATTTTGTAAGCATCTATTTAAGTAGGTTTTAGAAGTATTTAAAGTTTGTTTCTTTTTAATAAAACCTCTTTGTAAGCTGCATGAAATACAAAAGGAAAAACATCAATAGTAAAAGAACTGAAATTTTAAAAAGAAAGTAAACAAAGTAATAAAACAAATTTAAGGACTACTAGAAATTTGTATTTACTAATGCTAAGTGAATTCTGACGGGGGAATAAGCTATATAGCTAGTGTATAATCTTGTTGCTTATAAATGCTATGGAAAAGCTCATATCAATCCAGGTGTTAAAATACACCATCATTTCAAAATTAGGACATGAGATTATTATTAGGTTAGTTCGTTTAAAAATATCCTACTTCTCCAAATGAGTTAATTGTTTTCCATGTTGTTTTAAGAATGCCCAAACAATAGTGTGCTATTTCCCCTCTCTCACACTTTGACATACATATGGCATGCATTCTGGTTTTAGCAGCCTTTTGAATCTCATTTGTTTACATCTTGTATCCCCTTAAGAATTCAATAGGATACTATGGAAAGAAGAGAATCAGATTCAAAAAGAAAGAATAAAGTTCTAGGATGCCTGGAACAATTCTTGTTACTTAAGGGGTAAAAAGAAGTGCTGCCAAGTGAGAGAGAGACAGCTACCAGGATGCGCCTTCCCAGAATAGAATCAACTCTTCGTTTTATAACTGATTCTTGGAGAATTTCTATAAACAGAAAAGGCCATGAAAAAGAAAACAAGGGTAAAGTGTTTTAGTTCCAGGGAAGGAGGAGGTACAGTTCATCTGGTTACCCTTGAAAAACAATTATCTCTGTGGAGACAGGTACTTGGTCTTGCCCAACCAAAACTGTGTTTGTGAAGAGCTGAAGAGTGAAGGTGGAAAGCGACATCTGCCTAATGAGTCAGGACCATGGAAATAACCATGCGATCTCGGGAACTGACAGCCGTGATCAATGTTTTAGCTCCATCACTTTCTCTCTCACTTTAGAAAAGAACAAACTCACAGCAACTGGCATGGGAAACAAACAAAACAAAAAACAAAAAATAATGAGTCATGACAAACTGAGGGACAATGAGGTGATTTTGTTGAATCCTAATACCTGAATCCAATGATTGGACACTCCTTACAGATGTTACATTTGGCTTGATGCTTGGCAGTTTCCGCAGCAGCCACTCTGTGCAAGACGGGCAGCCACACCATAGACTGGGGTTCCAGGCGCATCCAGTCAAGGAAGAGAGCAGCTTCAATCTCAGGTTTATTATTGGCCTGGGAAAACAGAAGAAGACAAGTGGGGCAATAGTATGCAACAAAGAGATGGCGAGAGAGTAAGAGGTATTAATTTATTTAGGTAATAAATCAAAAAGAGAAAGAATAGCAAGAATCACATTTCCCAGCAAGGGCCTCTGTAGCTTCTCTCCCGCCTGCTAATCGCCCCTTATCTGTCAGAGCCAACTACCCCTCTGGTAAATTGTTATTATTACTCTGTCTAGCTACTAAATGACAACAAAACCAAAACAAGAAATAACTTTAAAAGTAAAGCAAAAATACATAGCCAAATGAGACTCAATTTACCTCTAGTTTTTTTTTTTTTGGCAAAGATATAAAAGTTAAATGCAAAGTGTTTACTGATTAAAATTTAAAAGAAAGAGGTGAATACCTTAAGGAAGTATTGATTCTCTTTTTTTTTTCTCTGCAGGAATTCCATTTCCAACATCTCATATTTACAGAGAACAAAACAGACACTGATCGTGTAGTAGAGAAGTAGCTTTTCAACAGCTATACTACTAATTGATGGCAAGGCTTATACTAGTCCTCAGCCATCCTAGACTCTGAATTCTGTCATGGTGCTCCATTGCTTCGCTACTTTTATCTTTCAAAGTCCCAATTTCATATATGTGATTCAACTCAGACAGTACAATCATCTTAGCACACTCAAAACATATTAACTCATAGGCTGACTGATGTTATTGTAGGCATGCATTTTAATCATACCTTGTGTTTTTAACCTTACATGATTGTAATTTTCTGTATCATTAGATAAATTTATAACACATATTGGCTTTTTTTTCTATTTATTGCCTCATTAATCTCACTCATCCAACTGAAATCAGTTCTATCTGAAGAATACCTTTTGCAATTTTCTTTTAGAAGATGTCTGCTGTCTATGGATTTCCCAGATTCTGTATCAAAATATCTCCTTTTTAAGCCATACACTTGATAGCAGTATTTAGTGGATATAAAATTTTATATAGTCAGTTTCAGGGGATATTTTTCTCATTTTGTTTTCGAATTTGAAATGTTAGTCCACTTTTTTCTCAGTTTCCGTGTTGTTACTATTGAAGAGATTGCCATTCCTATGAAGATCATTGTTATTTTCCAGAGGGTTCCTGAAAATGTGGCTTAGACTCTTTAATCTAGAATCTTCTCAGTCATGATTTCAACAAATAACACCTCTTCCAAATTCCTTGTCTATTTTGCTTATAGTATGTCATAAGCTAAATGTTAGTAGTCCACACTCTGCATTGGACTGGTCAGGTCATCCTTGGAATCTCCCACTTTATAATCCTTCATTTGTAAACTTCCATGCCTAATAATTTCTTCTGCCCTATTATCTGGGGAAATACCTATTTCCTCATCAATCTAGTTTGCTATAAAGTTTTAAATCTTTTAAAATGTAGTTATTTATTTTATGAGTATGTCTGAATGTCTGGGTATATGTATATACACCTCAGGCATGTAAAAGTCTCTCAGAAGAAGAGCTGGATGTCCTGGAACTAGATTTGCAGACAGTTGCTAGCCACCATGTCAGTGTTGGGAACTGAACTGAGTTACTCTGCAAGAATAGCAAGTTTTCTTAACTGCTGAGCCATAAGAAACCCCAAATTTTTAAAATTTCATTTTAAACATTTTTTAAATCTTTAAAATTTTAACTATTATGAATTTCTTTGCAGTAATGGAAATGGGACCTAACATCTTGACAATATTATGTCAGTATCACCGATCTATAATCTTAGCATTGCTTATCATATTTCTTGATATCTAGATACTGTATCTGGCAGTTTTAGAGCCAGTTACAAAGTTTATATGTAGTTCCCTGAAGATGTTTTCATTGTGGTCTTTTATTTTGTAACAGCACAAACATCATTCAAAAACATAATCTGCCAGCCTGAAGCAGCATACACAGGACCCTCATGGATCTGTAGCAGATTCTCTGCATATGGCTTCCAGTTTAGTATTTTTTTTATGGAATTCCTGAGTGTGTGAACAATGAGTTTCAGATTCTTGTGCCTTCTCTTGGGCTCTTTTCCTTCAATTGGTTTGTTTTGTCCAACTTCAATGTGATAAGTTTTGTTATATCTTATTATATTTTAAAAATAATCTACCTAATTTTCACTTACTTTGACTTCTTCTGTGCTCAGATGCCTAAGTTTTTTTCATAATTTCTGGACATACTTTGAACCACTGAACTACGTTCTCCCAGATGATTTCATTTGGTATTGCCAAAAATGAGGGGCACTACTTAAGTATATGACATGGTATCCTTAGTAGAATACAACTAATTAGTGAAGTGCCATCCTATCTTGCCCCTTTCAGCACACACTTTGCTAATAAAGGATCTAGCCACATTATAACAGAATGAGAACTAGATTTGGCCAGAGGCCCCATTTTATCTTGTAACACTGACCATTGCAGCAGTACTCTAGTCTTTACTTACTCCTAATGACAAATGTAACACCAAAATAGTGAGCTATTTAGCCTTGGATTTCCTTGTTACAAACTGGAATCAATGCAATCCACTGATCAAAATCATCTGCCAATCCCTTTTCTCTATGTGAGAGTCATCACAGACAAACTGGAAGTTTTTAAAAGGAATCCTTGAATGTAAAGATGAAAAAAGATCATGTGAGTCAATTTACTCTTTTCAAAGGTCTGACATCATGAAGTTGTATCTCAGGTCCCAAATCTTAGCCAGTGACAGTATATTCACTCATACAGCCACTGTCTAAGTATCACCCAGGTGAGAAAGCATCCTGAACATCTGTGTAATGGACCCCAGTGCCAAATGTTTCATCATGTTGAGCTGAAATCACAGCAAACAAGTAAAGGATGGGAAAGTTCTAAATTCACAGAACCCATGCAACCTTGGGAAAATATCTTTATCTGTATGCCTTAACCTTCCTCTGCTATGAAACTGAAATTTTTAACATTACCTGCTTCACAGGGCTGTTTCAAGATTATATGAGCCACCAAACTGAAAGGCATCCCTATCAGTGTTTGGCATATAGCATGAAGCATGTTTCAAGGGTTTATCATTGCCATCAGCAGGCATCTGACTGGAAGCCTATATAGAACCCAGGGCTTCATACATGCTACCTTGAAACAGCTTTTTTAAGGTTTATCAAAACTGCTCCCTGTTCTTTTTATTACTTCTTCATGTGGTACATCTCAGTTTACCAATGTCCTTTCGAGCATCAATTTTTCAAATATGTTCTGCTTGTAATGATACCTCTATTGCTCTGTATGGGGTAATTAATCATTTTTATTTGATCTAGACTACAATTTCTGTTCAACTCAACTCTGGGTCAGTGTTTCCCAGTACATTCAGCAAAATGTTTTATGAAAGGAAGGTCAAAGTAATTAAGGATTCATCATCAGGATTTCACAAGAGAAAACCCATGTTAATCTTCATTTGACCTAAAATGTTCCCAACTTATAGTTCAGTGACCCTAAGAACTTTTTTCCCTTTGAGTTTAAAATGTCTATGAGCACCACAATACATTAACGCTCAGCTGAGCATTATGGTGAGTGCGGATCTCTTCTGTTATCTAGAATTCTTTCACACAAATTGGGATTTCTTTCTTTTCACATCTGTCAAGAAATTTACTGTTGGTTTAAGTCCGTTGTAAACATCTCATTGGTTTACAGTCCTGATAACTATTGCTCCCAACTTAGGACTTTTTATATTTCAAAATATGTGCTCTTTTCACATTTAAAAGTTACTGGTGAAGCTAAGCGTGGTGGTTCATGCCTTTAACTCCAGAATTCAGAAGGCAGAGGCAGGTAGATCACTGTGAGATCAAGGCCAGTCTGGTCAACACAATGATTTCTAGAACAGCAAGGGCTACATAGAAAGACCATGTTATAAAAGAGAGAACAGTTATCGAGAGTGAGAGGGAGGAAGGGAGGACGGGAGGAAGAGAGAGATGGAGGGAGGGATTCAAGAGGGAGAGGAAGAGGGAGAGAGAGACAGAGATATTACGGCTTAAAGCATTGAACAGACCACAGACCAACGGACAACATTAAATACTTTGCAAAAGCCTACGAGTTTAACATAACCAGTAATTCTGTCCTCTCTGGTTGTTGAACTAGGAATCTTCCCTGTAGTATCATCTAGTATGTGCTGTACACATTTCTCCATTACACAAAGACATAGGAGACTTTGTCAAAAGAACTGCCAAGTGATCAACTACACAATATACTCTATAATAATATAGGGTTGTTGCTTGTTCCACTGGTCTAGAAACCAACTTTAGCAAAATAACCCTTTCTAGCCAGAAGACAAACCACTATAGAAAACCAATACACTGAAAAGCATTAATAATCCATTATTATTTATAGTATGAATTTACTCATGCTTAATTAGAACCTGTTAACATTCCTTTTGGCTCTGCCCCACAGTTACCTGGCAACAGCCAGGTATGCCTGACTTACTATAAAACGGGCTGTTCGCCCCTTCTTCACTCTCTTACCCTCTTACTCTCTTACCCTCTTACCCACTCTGTCTTTTCTCTACTCATTCCCCTTCCCCCTTTCTCCACATATTCCTGGCTGGCCTCTACCCTCTCTGTCTCTCTCTTGCTACTCTGTCTCTGTCTCTGTCCCTGTCTCTCTCACTGCTTTTTTCTGCCTCAACTCCCCTCCCCATGCCCTAAATAAACTCTATATCCATCTATACTATGTCCATTGTGAGGTTGGTACCTCAGGGGGAAGGGATATCTCAGCATGGGCCTGTAGGCATACCCCTTCCACCTCTCCATACCATGACTCTAACAATCATATCCTGGGCTTTTCTCTTTTTACAAAATACAACACTGGTGCCAAGTGACTCGGATTTAGAAACTCTAACATCTCCTGCTGCCACATGGATGTTGCAGCCATTGGATTGCTCTCTAGACCTATCTACCCGAACACTGGTGAACTGGTAAGCTCCTGCCCCCCACTGGTTGGTGTAAATATCCCTAGTCCTTCCTAAGAGAGGACTATTA